AGATTTGAATATTTGATTAAAAGCTTGTAGAAAGCTAAGGCCTATGTCCAGTTCTATGTCCCATTCTGTTCCGTTTGACCTTGCTTGTTACAGTTTGCATATTTTCTTAAATATTTAAAATTTTATCCTTAAAACGTTCAATCCATGGATCTAAGCATGTCCAAGTCTATTTTCAATATAACGGCTACTTTAAACAAGTAATTTTTAAGCAAGAAAAAACGGAATTCAATTCTCATATAAAAATTTAAGAGTATCGTTAACGGGACCACCTGTGAGGTAACACAATTCTTTAAAAAAAAAAGAATTATAGAATCCGGTTAACGTGGTCCAAAGTGATGCTTTAACATATAGAAAAAACAAATTCCGATGAATTGATAACCTTCTCCTTTTTGTGATGTCGGTGCTGCCAAGCTTGCACAAAAAAATTTCCCATACCTTCCGGAATCAGTTAGGGACCAAAAATGCACTACTGTCAAAACGACGTCAAATTACACGTCTCCGGGGTTTTTTCTCTAATCATTGCACGAAATTAGTTTTAATTAAATTAATTTAAATTTACTTTCCTATTAAACTGATATATATAAGTAAAATGTCTACAAAAACAAGCACAATCGAACGCAACAGTAGTGGTAACGCGAAGTCGCTAAATCTTTCAGAGATTTGTTCCCGGGCATTGAAAGCGAATTCTGAGTGGCCGGATAAGGTGAGTTGATTCGGGAGATGTTGGTGGGGAGTACTATGCTGTGCAAAGCTCAAGCACCTGATAAACTGGTAGTTAAGGAAAAACGTGCCAACCTGATAAAAACGTTTATGTCACCATTTTCCTATTTAAATTTTATTTTGTTCATTTCAGGACGAATTTTTGGACGTTATCTACTGGGCTAGACAAATCTTCGGCATCCTTTTGGGTATTGTATGGGGTATTGTGCCATTGAAAGGATTTTTAGGCTTAGTGCTGTAAGTAAATTATAAATGTATTATGTATTTATCTAAAAAAAAATTCTCACTTTTTGTGCTTTGTTTTAATTGAATAGTTTCGCTGGTATCAGCTGCGGCATTGTTTACATCTACGCCATAAATTTCCAGGGCATTGACGAAGAAGCCTACGGTGGTGCTTGGGAACTGGTTAAGGAAGGTTTTATGACATCATTCGCCGGCTTTCTTGTGACGTGGATAATTTTCTACACTGGGCTGCATTACGACGCGATAATGGCAGAAAAGGAATTGTCATAATGCCATCAAACAAAACTAAGAATACTGATTTGTTAAAACAGTTGAGTTAAAGATACCTAACAACCCACTTACGATAGTATGCACTCATTTTAAATCTTCCCTATTGATAATCGCCAATAATGCAACAACTCCGCAATGTGACAACAGAAACCGGTTTCCCTCCCAAATATCAAAATAGTTCCTTAAATTAAATTGAATAGCTTTCGCACGCTGTTGTAATGGTTTTGACAACTATTAGTTAATGAATTAGTCTAATTACTAAGCGTAGCCTTAATGCTATATTAAGATTTGTTCCAATCAACAGACATGTTCTGGCATTTTCGAGCATTTTGTTATTGTATGCCACCAACAAGGAATACTATCCATATGTGTTTAAACTTTTTCTATGAAAAAATAAACGATATAGTTTACATCATGGTATAATTCCACCATGGTTTACATTGCGTTAATTCAAAAGTTGTGTATCTTTTTTACTATTTAGGTATTTATTACAAAACTTCACAAATTTTCACTCGAAATTTTATTTCATACCAACTATCCTAGAAACGATTTTCACTAATAGTCCATAGCTTCCATTCCACTACCACCAGTCACATTGCCATTTGGTGTCGTGCCATTCTGACTTAATTCGAGCTCAAAGTTTTCAGGTAGTTGACCACTTTGCAGTATACGTGAAAGCCGCTCAACTTCTTGTAGCGAATTTGCTCTCTTAATTGCATCTCGGATGCGTTGCAGATCTTCTGGATTAGCCATACGCGTTGTATTACCAGCAGACACTTTACCTCCCGCTTCCGCCGCAGCCGCGGATGCATTAAGTTTCGATTTCTTTGCCACTTCTTTCAACATTTCTTTGCCTTGTTTTGTGCGGAAATATTCTTGAGCTTCAGTGCGATCTTTTCTTTTTATCTTCCTGAAGTCGAGCAAACGCAGCTGGGGAAACTTAAAAGCCATATATTCGCGGTAATAGGGTTTTGTTGAAACTGGATTTACAAGTAAACAGAGTGTTTCAAGACGAGGTAGTGACACAAGTGGCTCCAAATCACTCAAGTCCTGCAAATTGTTACCAGTCAAAATAATTGAACTCAAATTCGGTACTGCCTCTTGCAAACCGTCACCAATGCGCAGGATGCGATTGTTATTGAGAAGTAAGCATTTCAGCCGCGGCAAATACGGAATACCATCTAATTTCCGCAGATCGTTATCGGACAGGTCTATTGTATCGAATTGATCTAGTGTGGCACCCAAATTTTCGATTTGTGGTATTTTATAGCCGCGCAAATCCAATTCCCGCTCCCTGCAGGGATTTATAAACTGCATTGATTGATTGATGAGTTCCGGCGTTAGCTTCACCATTTTGTTGAATTGTGTATTGTATATTAGGCAGTGTTATTGATTCTTTTTCACTATTATATGTCTAGTTTTGCTAAAAATTTTATGATTTCTCATATAAACTGCAAAATATACACGA